GAGGCTTTAAAGATTTGTTTGTAGTTAAGAGGTGAGATACAGGAAGAAGAGATCATTTGTTGTATTTTAAGAGAAGGTGATAGGTTACTAAATTTGTCTAAACTTGTTGTGATGAAAGGGAAGTCATTTCTTTAATATTTCTTTTCTTTTTTCTATATTTTTTCTATTTTTCTAATTTTTTTTAGTTTCTATTAGTTTTTATCTTTTTAATTGTAACCTTTAATAAAATTACCATGTTAAAAAAAAGCTTCTCTGGTAGTTATGCCAAAGAGGGCCTTCTCTCTGTTTACATCCTATTTTTGAGCAACCATACTTCCCGTGACTTTTCTGACTCTCTGGTGTTCTATTTCGATGTCAGTGGTTTTCGCTGTGATGATTGTAAGCTTCTTAAGAGTGTTTCCATGTATGTTGTGTAAAGCAAGGATATGGATGTTATTAATAGACATATACTATATACAATTTAATTTTTGACAGCAGTCCCTTATACATTGCATAGAGCAAAGTTTTAAAAGTTTCTTTCTTCTCACTTCTACCCCCCACCACTTAATTCTGCAAAAAATTATAAATATGGCAAGTAAGGAAATGAGAGGCTTATTTCCATATTTTTTTGCATACAGTGAAATTATTATGAAATATGATTATAATAAAAATTATGAGTGCTTTGAATTGAGACGTAGAGTGATACAACCATTATGCAACATAAATTGGATATTACATTGGAAGCATATTTTCAAAAGATTTCTTCAGAAAGTTATGTTTAATGGGATAGTACTTATATTTGGTCCAAAGGAGAATGAAACAGTGATTAGTTTAGGTAAGTAAAAAGTTGTTAAAATGTAATGAAGATCAGCTGGGTTATTAGTTACTAAGATATACCAACTACTCAAGCACTGAGATCAAATCCCAATGATGTTCAAGCATTCTATGAAGTGTATGCCATAATACCTCTCATAAAATAAGGTAAAAACCCTGAAATTTTTCTTATCTCTACAAAGTAAAGAGAATTGTTCATGTCATACCCGTTGAATGTGCCTGCAAGATTCATTTATTAAATCACAGGTTATAAAAGCAAGGTAAACTAGATAGTCTTATGTCAATCCACTTAACCTCATGCTTCTTCAGTCAGCCACACAGCAAAAACAAGAACAGATTTTGGAAGTAGCCATTTAAATAGATACATACATGTGCATACGCATTTATATATATATATGTAGGTAGCTTGGGACAAGTAAAAATGGCACATGACTGTTTATTACTAAGAGAAAAGGTACCTGTGATTATAAATTGGTAGACTATGTATGTCTTTCATGCAGGGAATCCTGTGGCATATTTTCAGGACTTAGTAAAACATACACTGGGTGCTATTCTTGAGAAAAATTAATATTACTGCAGGATTGAAAATAAAAATGTTGAACGTTGCTGTGCTTTTTCTGATTGTAGGTCCAATGATGCACCAGCAACCGCCTTCTCAACAGTATAATATGCCCCAGGGAGGGGGACAGCATTATCAGGGACAGCAGCCACCAATGGGAATGATGAGCCAAGTTAATCAAGGAAACCATATGATGGGGCAGAGGCAGATTCCTCCATACAGACCTCCACAGCAAGGTAAGGTTAAAAGTTGCACTTTTTTTTTTTTTTTACTCTATCCATCTACTTTCTCTTAGTTGTTGCAGGCATAAAAACACCCTTTGTCTCAGCACTTTGAGGCAAATTTTGCTTGCTATAAGCATCCTGACATCTAGCTATTGACAAGTGTGTGATATTACATTTCCCCCCAAATAGTATTTCAGGCTAAACAAATCTCCACTTTGCAAATAAATGTTGAAATCTGTATTTCTGCCTCTGAGACGGCAGCTTACATATATATTGTCTGTATGTTTTGTGAAATGTATATTCACATCTGGTATATCATGCAATCAAGGTGCTCTCTGTAATACATGCATGTATTATACACAAAGCATTAAGTTTTCTTAAACATAGTGCTATGGGTGGGGGAAGTCTGTAGGTGAGAGGGTTTCTCATATTACACTGAGAAATTAGTGTGTTAACAGAAAAAATACGTTATTTACATATTGACTGGTTGTGGTTTTTCAGGCCCACCACAGCAGTACTCAGGCCAGGAAGACTATTATGGGGACCAATACAGTCATGGTGGACAGGGTCCTCCAGAAGGCATGAACCAGCAATATTACCCTGATGGTAATCTCTCATAATGTTAACTTTCCCATTTTATATACCTGCCCATTATTAGTGATACATACATAAAACTACTGGATGAGCAAATTTTTAGTTGCTAATCACTAGAATACTTTTATTTATTAAAGTTTGCAAGTTCCGTCATTTGAAAACCCAAAGGATAATATTAATTTACTGCTCGCTCAAAACATTCGTAATTTAATTCAAGTACCAAAATACAGATTTTTATAAGAATCCCCTCATTTGGCTAGAGGTATGACAGTTTTTTTCACTACAGATAGGATGGTTGTTATGTCTGTTTACAATAGTACTTTGCTTATAGAAAGGTATTTTAAAAATGAGATTTAGCAGAATCTTGTATGCTAAAATAGATTCATCCTAAAATCCTTAAAGAAGCAATGCTCTTTCCAAAGTATTTTTCTTCTGCATGTTTTTTTTTAAAGTGGCACAACTGTACAACTCAAATTTATTTATTTATTTATTTATTTATTTATTTATTTATTTATTTATTTATTTGATGCTTAATTCACCTTTCATTCAGCGG